TGCCTATTGAGAAAACCTCATCTGAGCCCTGTGGAGATTCAGAGATGCTTCACCCCACCCTCCCTGTGATTTGCACTTGGGGCCAGACCGGAAGAACAGCCAGCTGTCTTTTGGTTGTCTCTAAAATGTCCTAAAACGAAGACCATGCCGTGGCAGGGGTGGAGAACATGCCCAGGTGGAAGGAAAGAAAAGAATTCGAAAATTCTTTTGCCTGAGGGGACTCCTTTGGCTAGATAGTGTCTGTCTGTCTTTCTCTCCAACTGTGTATCTTGGAATAATTTTTAGTTTTACAGAGAAGTTGGAAAGATGACACAGACACATCCCACATACACTTCGCCCCAATTTCCTTACTGTCAACGTTGTGCATTGCTATGATCCACTTACCAAAACCAAAGAATCAACACCGGCACCGTACTATTAACTAAACCACAGACTATTTGATTCCATCAGTTTTCCATTCACGTCCTTTTTCTGTTCTAGGGTTCATTCAGTCCAGGGAACCACATTGCATTTATCTGTCATGGCTCTTTTATCTCTTCTGATCTGTGAGAGTTTCTCCATCCCTCTTTGTTTTTCATTACCTTGTTGGTTTTGAGGCATACTGGAGTATTTTATAGAATTTCCCTCAATTTGGGCTTGTATGGTGTTTTATCATGATTAAATTGGGGTCCTAGGTTTTGGGGAAGAATGTCATAGAAGTGAAGTGCCATCTCGTTGTATTGTCTCAGGGTGTGTGTATAATGTGTACATGGAAGCAGTATCTTTTCTGCATCCAATGTTTAGCCAGAAGTAATTCAATGAATATTCATTAAGTCCTTCCTATGTGTCTGGTGTTGTGCCGGGTACTATGAATATAAAGAAATCTCTCTCTCTCTTTCTCCTTACTATTTATAGACTACATGTCAGTATTCTGCTAAGCTCTTTGTTTCTCACTTAATCCTCCCATGAGGGAGACATTATCATTTCCATTTTACAGAAATTGAGTTATTTGACCAAAGCCACCCAGCTATTATTAATAAATGACAGAGGGGAAGGTGGGATTCAGCTTTGTTGGTCTTCCCACCACACAACCCTGCCTTCCCTGGCTAACAGCTCTGCCAGTGAAATGTTGCTCAGAGGATGAACCCATACACAAATGAAAAACTGTGAGGATTATCCTATAGCTTTTACGAAAGGTTTAGGGTTTAGACAAGGGAGTAGAGGATGGCTTCTCAGAGGAGGTGACATTTGAATTAGGAGAGAAGATCACTCTGGAAGGGAGACACAGTATGTGAAAAGGCACAGAGGTTCAAAGAGGTCGGAGTGTTCTGAGAAGAATGAGATGTCCAGTGTGGCTGGAAGGGAGGGTGTGAGGCAAGATGCTGACTTTGCACCTTCCCAAGGACGTTTTATGGAGAGTTATGTGAGAGAGGCGCATCTCATCTCCCCCGTCGGTCTGGTGCTAAGGGGCTGACTGGGCGGTGGAGCAGTGAGAGCAGGAAACAGGGCTGGGAAGCATGGGGCATAGGCTGGCATTGACTTTCATGATCGCTGCAACTTTTCTAACCACCAGCTTCTGTAAAACGGGAATGGTGCTCACCGCCTACAGAAACCTCTGCTCAGGTGATATGGACCATAAAGGGAAAAGACTCTGAAAACTGGAAAGCATCAAATGTCAGACTCAAATGCAAATAACTTCATAGTCACAGTAATGGAACTGTCCAGAAATTGAGCACACCCCAGACAAAACGCTTAAAGTCACAGGAGCTTCATGGATAAGGCCTGTTAAATGGGATTGACAGTGAAACCCTTGAAGTTCCTGACGTGAGTTCCACTCTACTGCTTAATTTTGTTACTTTCTCTGTAAGGAATGGTGAGCCAATTTTCAACCAGATTTTAAAGATTTGATTAGGCGCATCACCATCTCGGGCCCATCTGGTCATGCTATTGTCATAAGAAAACAGCATCTACAAAGATTTGGCAGAGCAGTGGAAGCACTTGGGCAGTAACAATGACAGTGTGTCTTGCTCTGCATTGAATTATTTTCCTATGTTACATTCACGTCTCCTTAAAATCACAGCTAAGATTGGTGTTCCTCACGTGCTGTCTGCAAATTCCCCATCCCAACCTTTGATGCAAATCAGAAGTCTAGGTGCCAATTAGGACTACACATTTTACATAAATCCAATTGATATATATATAATAGGATAAAGGTAACTTTATCCTAATTAGGTTTAATTTTGTCATCTCATCAAGTTAGGAAATGGGCCACAGTCTTTTGGCTCTTTTAAACACTGGGTAGAGGTTAAAAAAATAAGTGTTAAATGAAGGAATGAATGATTTGGGTTCTCCCAGCATTCTGGATTGTTGAGCGGGAAGAGAATGGATTTTGGAATCAGCCAGATTAGGGTACGAATCCTAGTTCTGCAATTTGCTACTCGAGTTTTCTTCAGGCCTCTCTCGGCTCTCCGCGAAGAAAAGGGAGGGAGAGACACAGCCCAGGGAAAGTGGCGGTGTTAATTTCCTATTGCTGCTATAACCAGTGACCACAAACTCAGATTATTATGTTACAGTTCTGGAGGTCTGAAGTCCAAAATGGGTTTCACTAGGCTAACATCAAGGTCTTAGCTGGGTTTGTTCCTTCTGGAAGCTCCAGAGGAGAGTCCATTTCCTGTCTCTTCCAGAAGCCACCTGCATTCCTTGGCTCACAGCCCCTCCCTCCATCATCACAGCCAGCAGTGTCTCATCTTTAGACCTCTCTCTGACTCTCCAGCTTCCAGCTTCCAGTTTTAAGGACCCTTGTGATTACACTATGTCCACCTGGAAAATCCAGGCTAATCTCCCCATCACAAGATCCTTACCTTAATCACATCTGTAAAACCCCTTTTGCCATGTAAGGTAACATGCTTATAGGTGCCAGTGATTTGCATGTGGACATCGGTGGGGCCACCATCCTGCCTACCACGGCAACAATGCATTCAGTGGCTGCACTTATCATATATGTCAACTGGTGATGGGAAGCACCTCTAATCCTTTCTAGGGTGTCACAGATAATGCATAGAAAAGTCCCCAGTGGGGCCTGCCCCCACTATGAGAACAGTGGCCAGATGTCATCTTGAGGGTCACCCGGTTCTAACTGGGGAGGACATGGAAATAGTAGAATTTACTGTAACAGTTTTGTTGAGGGGGTTTATTGCATTTCAGCACATATTTCTTATGAGACACCACAGAGAAGTATTATTCTGGTCTCAAAAACCATTACTAGATATTGTTTCCCCTAGTAACCACTTTGTTTCCCTCAGATGAACACTAGCTCACAGGGATGATCATTTTCCTCTATCTTTACTATTAGGAAGCTAAAAGACACAATTTTCTACATCTTCAGCAAAGCTTTAGGATTTTCCTAGCTTCGTCATCCCTTTTCCCCAGTTCCTTCACCTGTTTTATATTTTATTAATAATTCCTATTGTTGGTAGGATCTGTGAACCCAGAATAAGTTATGGTAAAAATGTTTGTTATTTCCAGAGATTATTTTTCTCTTTTGTGAGACACATGCCCCAGATATATTCCTCTTTGTTCCAGGGACCCAAAAAAATAATAACAATAAAAACGTGAAATGAAACATCATAGGTGCCAATGTATAAATACACTCAGCAGAACTGAGTTTAGCATCATTGTAAAGACTGAAGCTTATGCTGATAATATGAAAACAAGTCTTTCAATGCTTTGTATGCTGAGCATGCTAAGTTCATAAATGCCAGCGTTTTAAACGTCTGGCTTGCTGTTAGCAGATTCACTGGAACTGGAATCCATTTCTTTTCTAAGGGATGTTTAGCTTTTATTATATCTTTACTCATGGTCACAAGACATTGGCAAATTTAGTAAAGTGATTGAAGATATTCTTCTTCAGGCATTCCTAAAGTTTCATATCCTTGCCTTCATGGTTTTGGATGTGAGCATGTTTTCTTAGAAAGGAAAAAAAAAAAGAAATGGGCTTTACATTGCATAGGATTTTGATTGTCATAGAAAGACAAGATTAAAAAAAAATCAATGTTAGCAAAACCTCCAGCAAAAATACTTTTGAGATATACCCAAGTGTAAGACTTCATTTCTGAGTTAATCAAACCACAGAATTACCCACTCCAAAAACCTCTCAAACCCTATTAGATGGTGTATCAGGACCTTCTCTTATTAATCTCTGTATCCTTAGAGTCTAGAACATGGAATGTGCTTAATACATATTTGTTGAATTAGTGTGTAATACCTTCCACTTTCAGAAAGACTAGAGTTCTACCCAAATCCCAGCAGACTGTGCCAGGCACACAGTGGTTGCCAAGTGGCAGGCATGCAATATGCATTGAATGACTGGCACTGAGGCATATCCAAACCATGGAAGAAATTTCCACCATCTCTGACCTCCAGAGGAGCAGTTTTGACTTCCATTATTTTGCCCCTTGGCAAAGACACGCCCAACAGATAACACTGACATGTACAACCACTCTAATGGGTGTATTTAGTTTTATGTGTAATTGTCAGTGTGCTAGCACCTTTTTCCCATTCAAGAAAATACATCAGAACACAAATGAATAAGAATGTCATTAATACAGGAACTATCTTGTATCCACTGCAATTTGTTGAGAAAGTAAGTCATCCACCATCTTGGAATTTTAAATAATATTGGTAGTGCATGACTTGTGAGGCATCTCTCACAATGATAGACAACATTTCATCATGATACCAAGACCGAGACAGCTTCTTGACAGAAACCATCTCTGAGAGCCACTGTGGCCTCTCACACCATCTTGGAGACCTTCCTAAACTCCAGAGAAACCATCTCTTGGGCTCGCCTATTCCCAGTGCAATGCTCTGTGTGGGCTCTAGCATCCCTGAGAGCTCCACCAGAACCATATAAGATGACTCCTATTAAGGGACATAGCTCACCTAAGAATCTCATTGTCAACTGTTATGCCACTCCCACCACCATGACCCTAAGGAAGAGAAACCACAAGCAGCCAACTTACCACGCCGCCACCAGCCGAATGCACGAGCACAGACATTCCTTCCCGGAGGTTGGCAACTTCAAAGAGCATCATGTAGGCTGTGACGAAGTTCATGGGGAATGCAGCAGCCTCGGAGAAGCTCATGTCATCTGGGATCTTGTAGACAAACTCCACTGGTGTGCAGACCACCTCTGCCCAGGCATTGTAATTGACAAATGCCATGACACGGTCCCCAATCTGGGTACAGGGAAACAGAAGGTTAGTGGAGGCTAGCTCACGACAGAGTTTCAAGGAGGTATTAACGTTATTGGGAGCTGTCCGTGGTGCAAAGCACCATTATTTTTCTTAACTCATACACTTGTGACCTGTATCCAAATTTTTGAGTTTCATGGTCATTTATTTTATACTTTGATAAAACGAGTCACTTTTAAAAATACATTTTCAGTTAAAAAACAAACCTCTACTTAAGTTTCACAAGTTATATGACTGATTTAATGAACTGCTGACAACTCTATACTTTCCTGCCCACTCATCTTCATCCCGACTCCCTCCTCCCCAGCACCAGGGAAGCTGGTTGGTTGAGGACTCATTCCCTCTTTGAAATTCTGGACATCATTCAAGTTGTAGCAAGAGGCCTGGGTGGTATCAGGACACCCAGTGAAGGTAGAAAAATGATGCACATCCCTCCTCCATTCTTTCAAAACCACCTGTCACCTGGCCAACTTGTGCCCTTCCTTTAAGGCTTCTCAGGAATTTTAGTCCCCATAGCCAAGGATGAGGGAGTTACAGCTAGTCTAGAGAATGGATTCCTCTTCATGAGAGGTTTTTCCATATGTACTTTTGATCACAACAGAAAAGCTACCACTTGCTGAAAAATAACAATGCATTCTGTAATCTTCATTTTTATGTCAGTTATTTAATCTACATGATAGCTTTATAGAATATCATCTCCATTATATACATGACAAAACTGAGGCTAAGGAAGGTTAAGTATCTTGCCTAAGGACATAGATGCTAAGGCTTGTCTAATTCCAAATATCTTTCCATGACATCACAATAATTGCCCACCATGTTTGTATACTATGCCCACCTTTGGTCTTAGTTTCCAGGTACTAAAGATATAATTGTAAATGAGGTGCAGTTCATGCTTTCAAATTGTTCATATTCCCTGAAATTTTCATGTGGCCAGTACTATACATGACAGAGCTTATAGGCAAATCCACTTAGAAGGGATAATATTTTAGTAGAAAATGCAGCCTTAAGCCAAAGGCATGACACTATGATGGTGATGTTTCAGATGATGGTCCAAAAAGATCACAGTTCATTTTTGTATGTGGTGAAGGGTGGGTGGGGCCAAAGGACGTCACAGTAGCCTGCAAGTAAGCTCCATCAAGCCTTGGGGACTTGCCAGGTTAGCCAGTTCTGTGTATATTGGAATAGAGCTACGACAGCCTCCGTTGTGTATGGCTGGCAGTGTCTACAAGGACCAGGGGACAGGGTAGTTCAAAGACAATGGACTGATCCTGACACCATTCAGGCCTGGGTAACGGGTAGGCAGTTGGAGACAGCATCTATGATGCTCTAAGTGAGCCTGGTCACCTCTGCTCCAGCTGCCAGGGCATCCCTGCCAGAGGGTTGGGTTAGCATAATTCAGGAAAGACACCTGAACCACAGAATCAAATTGCTCTGCCCCAGTATGTCTTCTGGGGCTCTCTTGCCAGCAACAGGAGCAAAGCAGAGCCTGGTCTGCTCGCTCTGAGAAAGAGGCAAGCAATTAATAAACGTGATGACCTGATAGCTGGGTAGGGAGGACTTTTTCACTGTCTCTTCACATCTCCTTTCCTTATCCTTGCAAAGCTTGGCATAAACAAAGGCAGGTCTTTTCTTCCCTGTATCTTCCCTGATGCTGCTGGAGAGGGAGAAAGAATCTTATCTGGACTTATCTGCATGTGATTTATGGCTCCAGCTCCCACCTTCCTTCTCTCTCCTCTCTTAAGTCCCTAAATGACTGCAGACTTCTTGGATACCAGAAGGGGTGGCTCTCCACTCTGGTGGTGGAAGCAGTCTGTCCCAGAGGGGAGACAATTAAAAATAAAACATTAGCCAACAATAACAAAGTGGCAGCAGGGGGGTGGAAGTTCAGACAATGTGAGAAAAGGAGAAGGGAAGCCTTGGTCCCTGTGCCTGTCCGATACCAAGCACCTCCTATGTCTCCCAGTGGCCATATTGGAAAATCATCAGGAAAAGCTTGGGAAAATGCATGCTCACACACTTGTGCCTTTGCACCTGCAGTGTGTGCAGTTGGCATTCCTTCTCTTTGCTCTACTTTTGGAAAATCTTTGATTTTTCCTTCAAAGCTCAGCTCAGACATCACCTTTTCCCTGAAGCTTTCCCTGTTGACTAACCTTCCCCTACGAAAGCAGAACCGGCAACTCTTCTCAGTGTTATTAGTATTTATATTTACTGAGTGTTTCCTGTGGGCTGACACTAGTTATACAGCAAAGTTTACTACATTTAATCCTCACAGCAACCCTACGTGGTGGCTTTTATTTCTGTTCCCATTTTTCAGACTGAAAACTGAAGCTCAGGGCAGTTAAATAACTTGCCCAAGACCACATGGTTATAAGTGGTGAAAGAGTTTCAATAGAAGTCCATCTGATTCCTTATAAGATCCTTCATTGTCATGCTGGTCCCACTGTATTGGGTTATTTTACGTGGCTGGCTCCCCCTCTAAATGGGGAGCTCTCAGGGGGCAGAGGCTGGGACTTACTGATTTATGGATTCCCAATGCATGGCTCAGTGCTCGGCACATAGTGAGTGGTGGCTTGATGGATGATTAGGGGCAACTGAACCTTATCTAACTTCTCCATGGGTGAGAAATGGGGGAGGGGAAGACGATAAATCCTGGAGAAGTCTCCAATAGTCTCGTAGGAAGCACCTCTGGGTCTGAAGGGAAAATCAGTATCTGCATGAACTAGAACTCCAGGAAACTCCACCGGGGCAGGGACTGCTAGGAGCTGGTCTTCAGCTAATTGTATATTCTCACTGGTTTTAGGGAGATTCTAAGACAGTACTCTTTCATGCAGCTGGCAGCAGCCTCAGTCAAGGTCATGGTGAGTCTTCTTATTGCTAATATTTTTGCAGAGGGAGAACCTAGGAAACCCCAGGAGTTGCCATATCTACTGTCATCTCCTCCTGGCTGCAGGTACAAAGTCAATCTGCCCAGAGCCTGCCCCAATCCTCTTGAAAACATGAAAGAAATGGCTGCAGTGCCCTGAACCTGGATTCGAATCCTGGTTCTTTGCCTTTTAGCTGTGTGGCCACAGGCAAGGTGCTCCACCTGTCTGTTTCTCGGGAAGTGTAGATCAGGGATGGTCCTGCCTCTCTCACAGGGCTCATCGTGAAGGTGAAGTGATGCAATGTATGTGAACTTGGCTTAGGTCATCCCAAAGATCCCATCCCAACTCAAGAAGCCCTCCTTCCCTTCCGCATCACTCTATCACATCATTCACTGGTATTTTCTTCAAAGCACATATCCCATCAGAAGTTTTCTTGTCTATTCACACGTTACATCTCTGTCACCTACTTCCTCCCACTCCAGTTTGAATATCAGCTGCACCAAGACAGGGGCTCCTGACTGCATCCTCGTCACTGCATACCTGGTGCCAGAACAGCGGAGGTGCGGTTGAGGGAATGAATAAAGACAACCACAATATTCTTGGGGCAGGGGAGGCAGGTGGTCACTAAAAGTCAGATTCTATCCCAGATTTCTGATTCAAACATATACTTTCGTGTCTCTTAATCTTCTTTGGAGGGCTTTCTCATTGTTCCTAAGAAGCTGATGAAAACTAGAGATTCCTTCTCAGAAAACAAAATAAAACAAAAACATTCTCAAACATGCACACCCCTGCCTGTCTCCCAGTTTCAAGGCACTGGTGGATCCCTTGAAGCCTATCTGCGAACCGCTCTGGGAGTGGCGGGGCATAGAAGCCAGGTCCTCTGCTCTTCTCCTCCAGCATAAACATTCTCCGGCAGCACACCACGCACCGTGAATGTTACTGTTGGGAGGTCATCTCACAGACTCAATCCACGTCTCAACTCTCTGTTCTGGAAATGAGGAAAACTGATCTGCAGGGAGGTTCAAGATTTGCCGAAATCTGTACGTAGCGCTGAGGGCAGGGCTAGGAGTAAAATCTACTCTCGGTTGTTCTCTGCCACCCCATATGGATCCCGTGCCAGTCTAGATCTTTGTGGTATTTGTGTCAAAGATTAGCACTGGCTCATGGGTTGCAGTGGGTGTGAAACCTGGTGCATCAAAAAAGCCACGTAAACCTAAGTGCAGGAGCCTGAACGAAAGTCCAGGCTTAGAGCAAAACAAGAGAGAATTGGTTGTGATGAACAAGAACAACTAATGTTTACTTATTTACCATTTATTGGACACACATTATAGGACAGGCATTTTCCTAAAGGCTTCACGTGTTTTAACTCTTCTAATCTTTCTTTCTTTCTTTTTTTTTGAGACAGGATCTCGTTCTGTTGCTCAAGCTGGAGTGCAGTGGCTCATAGCACACGTAACCTGGAATTCCTGGGCTCAAGTGACCCTCCTGCCTCAGTCTCCCCAGTAGCTAGGACTATAGGCACATGCCACCATGCTTAACTAATTTTTCTATTTTTTTGTAGAGACTGGGTCTTGCTTGTTTCCCAGGCTGGTCTCAAACTCCTGGCCTCAAGTGATCTTCCTGTCTCGGCCTCTCAAAGTGCTGAGATTACAGATGTGTGCCACCGCATCTGGCAACTCACCAAACCTTCACAAAAATCCTGTGAATGCATAGATGAATACTGCGTTCTTTTTATCAGTAGTTTACATAGGCAGACACCATGCAAAAAAATCCCCAAAACCAAAAGAGAGCAGTCTTCCTTTTAACTTGTGATTTTTTTCCCCATAGCATATCATTATCAAAGGTGAATACAAATATGTGAATTCATATGAACAGCGTACATGAGCTGCCAAGTACAACTTACATTGAACCATTCTGCTATTTCCTATGTAAGCTGCTTGTATCACAGCTCTCAAATGTATTATTCAAATCGCTGTGAGTACATGTAGTGCTTATTTTTCTTAAAATTGATTCTACTGTTTTAATTTCTTCGTAGCTTAGCATTTCTCTTCTACCCCTACCTAACAACAATAAAAATCTTCCTAGGAGATTTGTTCTGTAACAGCTCCATATTACAGACGAATGATCATAGATTTTTACAGACATTTAAATTGGGGTAAAGAGATTAAATCACCCAAGGTCATGGAGCTAGAAAGTAGTAAAGCCAGGATTTGAATCTAGATAATCTGACTCCAGATAAATAATTAATTCATTACACCCGAGATAAGCGCTACAAAGACAAAGCGATATGAAGCTGCACAACAGGGGAACCTACGAAGTTTGGTAATATTAGTTGAACTCTTTAATTCTCAGTTTCCTCAGCTCTGAAATGGGTATAATATTAGTAAAGGGTCCTTGTGAAGATGAAATGACATAATGTACATGCAATGCACTCAGCACAGTGCATGCAAAATGAGGAAAGAGCAATACATGTTAACTCTTAAAAAGAACACATTGTTTCCTGATCTCATGGAATTCATAGTTCAATGATCAACAGCTAGACAGAGACTCACTGTATTTCATAGAGCAGAGGTAATAGCTGTCTAATAAAGAAACTGAGGGGAAAGAGAGCCTATCCCACTGGCGGTGAGTGTCCCAGTCCCTGGAAGTATTGAAGACCAAGTGATGAATGTCGGGAATATCATGTTCAATGCAAGGATTTGCATCAGAGCATAAGAAGGGTCTCTAACACTGGCATCCACTTCTTTACAGACTCAGGAAAACCGAAAGACACAAACACCATAGAGTAGCTGATGGCATCCAGCATCAACACAGAGTGTAAAGAGTAGAATATTTCAACCACCTGGACAGTGGTTGCACCTGGTTGCACCTGGACAGTGCAGCCTGTCACTGCAGGGCTGACTGCACCCAGGTCTCATTCGGCTTGGCTCCATCGCTTCCACTTCATTATCGAAATAGCAAATGTGTCTAAGTCACAGGATGAGCGCCAGCCTCAGAGTTTAGCGGTGGGCACCTCTAAAGGAATATCCAATTCACCCTGTTATTTGAGTCTGCTAAGAAGAAGAACTCAGTCCTGGGAAAATGAACCCAAATTATTCCTTTGCTTCTGATGACTTTTCAATCCTCCCTAGCAGTACATCAAACCAAGAGAGCTATTCAGTGTGCCGCTACATAGAATTCCATCTCCAACACGACTGAAAATCTTGAGCCAAAATTATAGTGGGGATATTAGTACTGGTTCTTTCCTCTATCATATCCTAACTGGAAATGTGTAGGTTACTTCTTTTATTTGTTTGTGCAGTCACTGGAGAGGAGAGAGTTGGAAGGGTGGGTCTGATAGTTAACAAGCCAGGGCTAACTAGTGGAAGATAAATCACATTTAAAGGAAAAACACACATGATTAAGTATAGGAAGTTCTCCGTCTAAACCAGGTCCAACAATGCCCCTGTTTCCTGTTATATTCTAAAATAATTGGTTATTTATTCAATGCTCAGGGTTACTGGAGTGAGCAGTATGAGCTTTTCTCTTTTGGGGCTGTATGGAACAGTGAAAAGCAGATAATCTTTCTTATTTGCAGCACTTCCAGGGTGAGATAGCGTGCTTCTGGTTATATTGCTTACCTGGGGACAGAAAATGTAAATGCATATGAAAGAAAAGAAAAAGCTCATTTACTTCTTCTTTCTGAACATTTTCCTGCTGTATCATCTATAAACCATTGGCAAAAAGACTGATAAGTGGGATGAGATTTCCAGACAGACATTCATCATAATGAATTTGGAACATATTGATGTTTTCAGAGCATAGTGAAGCTTAGATACACTGAGACTAAGAAGCGGGCTCCAATTCAATTTCAAGGGCATTTTGGCATTGCATTTGGTAGGATTTTTCTTCATTTCTCCTTTCCTGCAGCATGTATAGGCTGGGAGCAGGGGTAAAGATGATGACATTGTAGGAAGAATAAAAAAGCTCTGGGCACTTGGATCCAGGTTGTACTAGTACCGACTACCCCTCTGAGCTCACAGAAAATTACTGAACTCTCCTAAATCTCACCTGCAAAGAGATCATAATAATCTTCACCTTGCAGGGTTGTGCTGAGGCTGAAAAAAAGAAAGAGATAACTTCCCCATGGTTCTAATTATAGTGGGTTCTAGAATGTTCATTCCTCACTAGGGGAGCATTCAGTTATGAGTGAGATTTCTTGTGTTTGATTTGCATTGGTTTTTTGACTCCAAACTACTGCAATTTTGTGCAACTGGTTTGCCCACAGGTTTTCAGTTTTGTAGACCGGTTTCTATTTAACTTGTATTATAATGGTAGTAAGGGTCGTACATCTTTCTAAAAATTAAATGTTTTGTTACAGAGAATTTCAAACAGGTACAAAAGGAGTCAGGATAATATAATAGACCCTTTTACACGCTACCTTACTCCCAAAGCCGTCAATTCACAGCTAATTCTGTTCGATTGTTGGGTGCCTCTCCTCTTTGACTTGATGATCTTCTTCATCAAGTCAAAATGCTACTTCCCATTTCCTGAAATACTTAGGCGTTTGTAAAAGATCACTTAAATGTATCAGTTAAGTAAATATTTAAAGGAACCAAATTACAAAATACAGAGGCTATTTCCCCCAAACTTTTGTGTTTCGTGATTGAATTTTGAGCCCAAGGTGATAGGAAAATGGGAGTCCTGGATGGGGGAGGGTTCTATACACACATAGTTAATCTAAAGCCAAATACTCTTGTTTAAGAGCAGCATGACACGAATAAAGGGGAAGACAAGATTTGTCCCACCCACTTCGCCAGACTGTTGCCGGGAGCAACAAGGTAGAACATGAGAAAGGCATGAGACTTTTAGGAAGTCCTAGTATTATAAACATTGTTCATAAAACTCAATAATAAGACAACTGTAACGACACATGTCACAGAATATTTCAAATATTTTTGGCATAATCTTTTATTGTCTCAATGGATTCCAGATGAATATCACTCTTTAAGTCACAGTCAAAACATTACCTCGTATCCTTTCACGCTGTCTCCCAGAGCTTCGACAATCCCAGAACACTCAAATCCCGGCACCAGGGGCGTCTTGGGAGGGTTGTCAATGTTCCCCTGTCGAACCATCAAGTCAATGAAGTTTAAACCACTGTGAAGAGCAAACGTGAAAAGAGAGAAGTCCAAAATGAGGTCCAAATGAAAGTACTGGCCTGGTTTTCTGTCCTTCCCTTCCCTTCTCCTACTCTCCTCCTTCCCTTCCTCACTCCTTTCTCTCCTCCTATTTTTTTTTCTTTCTGGCAAAGTGTCCCCAACAGTAATGCCACTTAGCTAGATGTTACCAACAAAGCAAAATTCAATTATCTCCACACAGATAAGTAATACTTTTATGGCAATGACAGTCGTAGTTGCAGAGTTTATGCTAATTCAAAAGAGGGCCCCTTTAGCGTCTCTCAGAGCGTGTTTACTCTTACTTTAAAAACACATATTGACTAGCTTGATCATTAGACATCCTAGCACTTAATCAAGGGTAAAATATGTACTAGGAGGTAGCTATAAACAGACACGTGGAAAACAGCCAGACACAATGGCCACCAGCTAATGTATGAAAAAGAGAGAAAGAGAAAGAAGACCTAAAAGCAACCAACCATCTCTCCTCAATCATCACACACATTTATGCTGGTACTGTGCATAAACAGCACCGACCATGGTAAACAGGAAATATCAAGAGACTGCATTATGTCCTGCTGGAGGAGGGTGACTCAAGAAAACAGATCAAAGAGATGGCTGACGGGTATGGGGATACCGGAGTGTTTGTTTCAAATATGGAAGTTATCTCTGGCTGAGAGATATTAGTAGGTATTTTCTATGAACATATTACTTTTGAAATAAGAAAGTTATCACTAAAACATATCCAAGCCATTGCCATGGAAGACTACATCCTTGATTCCAGTGATGCTACCAATGCTCCAAACTCTTTTATTTTTTCAGAACTACTCTTGGGAGTTACATTTAACCCCCCTTTACTAATCACGTGGAAAAACCCACATCCCACTGAACATGCATTTTTTTTTCCCAGCAGAAGTGGTTCTAATGTACTTCCTGTTTTTATAAGCCACCATCTAAGAAAGACTTGGGTTATAGAAACCAAACTGTTTAGTTGACCCAAGGCCCATTAGCAACTGAGCAAGATGACTTGAACTATTTCTCAAGTACGTTCCTTGGCCTCTTTGGAGACAAGGAAGCATCTAGCTCCTCCTCCATCCCCTGGTCTCACTCATCAGTCTCATCCACAGACATCAGATAAAGGTGAGGAGGTGGCTTCCTTAAAGAATGAGTTCAAAAGTCATCACCTTCTCGAAGTTGTCCTGACCATGAATCAGTCAAATTTCACATATTACCCCAGACTGTGTCTCTCTAAAACAGTCTCTCCTTGAAGGCAGCTGCATGTCTCATATTTCTTTGCTTCTAGAATGCATGGCATGCAATAGGCCCAAAGTAATATAGTAGGTGCTCAACTAACATCTGCTGAATGAGGGAACAGTCATGGATATTCTAAACTGTGTGCTGCCAGCCTGAGTACTAATTACTTCTAAAAAGCAGCCAAGGCATTCTCAGAGTAATGGATACATTTCTGAACTGTATGTGTAGACTCCCAAAGGTCTTACTTTGATGGTCAGTAGTTATTCAGGTCATTTTTTAACCAGAATGTTCTCCAATAATGTGGTCAGTTTCTTAAGAGCTTGAGGAGACCTGAGTACAAATCCCAATTCTATCATTTCTACTTATGTAACTTTGAATAAGTTACTGAATTCTTCCACTTCTCAATTTTCTCATCTGTAAAGAGGGTGTTACGACAGTATCGACTTTACAAGGTTGTCATGAAAATTAATGAGAGTAAAGCACTTAAGCATGGTGCTAAGTACATAGTAAGTATTTAATAAATGGTAGCTTTGAGAGTCACATATTCAGTTAAGAAGGAAGAAGTGTGAGATACATCTTAGGAAGATTCCCATTAGAAAAGGATTAGTTATCCAAGCGTGGTGGTGTGTGCCTATAGTCCCAGCTACTTAGAGGATGAGGGGGGAGGATTGCTTGAGCTCAGGAATTAACTTGAGTCCAGCCTGGGCAACAAACATAGCAAGACTCTGTCTCTAAAAAAATCAATAAAAATAAAATAAAATTTTTTTTAAATGTTAAAAATTGTTTCAGAGCTGACATGGAAAAGCTTTAGCTATCGCTGAACTTCAATTCTATGAAATGGCCCATTTTGTAACACAACCAAATAAATAAAGCATCACTATATAACAATAAAAGAAATGTCTACACCCCAAATCAAGCACTCCATCTCATTTCACACATAATTTTAGCTCACTGTGTGTACCTTTGAGTGAAAACCAATGGTTTCCCAAGACGCTGGTGGAGGAATATCAGAAAAAAATTACTTGACAGTTCTGCAAACACAGTAGCCCCTGGAGAAGGATTCATCCCGGGCACTTATTATGCTGCTCAATTGGGCTGACTTCAATCGCCATGAATTGGGCCTGGTGATTGTAAATTGAGAGCCAGTGATTTAAATCCCAGGGAGAAGGGCTAGTACTGCCTTATAAAGCCTGCAGCATCCTCCTTCCTCAGTGAGGCACTCAGTGATTCTGTCAGGTTGTGGAAATTGCCACCTTTACTCAGGAAGCAGGCATATGAGTGTCATTTATCTCCACACAGTGGGGAGACAAACAGTTGTTAATGAAGTACCTTCACATGTTGTGTCAGACCTGTCTCTCCTCGATGCCTGTCCACCCACCTTCTCCTGACATGGATACAGCTAGCACTTACCCAGAGTTTAATTTGTGGCAAGAACTGTTTGACAAGTGCTTTACTTTTGTTATTTAAGACTCAAGACAATCCCATAGGGTATGAACTATCATATCCATTTTTTCAGATCAGCACACTGAGATCCAGCGAAATTAAGTAATTTGCTTAAGGTCGCATCTTCAGAAAATGTCAAGGTTAGGATGTGAATTCAAACAAAATCTAGAAACTGGAGCCCTCATGCAATGCACTCCACTACCTCTTCATGGGAACTTCCCCATGCATCGCCCTGGCTGAAGGGGCATGTTCAAGGGCCATGTTGATAACTCCTTATCTCTTCCTCCTTGCTGAGGGGTGATCGCACCAATGGTGGGCCCAGCGTTGGAGGAATGGCCACTCAGAATCTAGGCAGGAACCCATTCCTTAACAGGAATAAATTAGCCAGTCCAAGAACTGGGTGTTCTCTCAAAAACTATGAATCGGGAAACAAGTATCAAGGGAACTTAGCAACAGAAAGGATGTCAAAAGATAGAAATGAGCTAGAGGGCCCTAGTGGACCTGAGCTTTGGGGAAGCCTAAGTGAAAAAGCCAAGAGGTCGAGGAATTAAAAGAAAAGAAAAAACACAACGATCAATAGAGTCAACCCAATAGCCTGCACCAGGCTGAGGCTATACAGACTCCCATTGCTGAGTTGCGAGAATGAGACAGTCCAGTCTCTAGACTTAGGGAGGTCTGGCTCCACCATGCTTTCTGCTCTGATTTCTGCAAGTTTCTTTGTTACTGTTTCCTTTTTGTTGCTGTTTCCAGCAGAACCTCTTTGCTTGGGTGCCTGTGTGGTCTCCAATAAAACAGAAAGATACAAACTAAAACAAATACTATAATCGATTATCCCCAATCACCCATTGAGACAGACATTATTGACACCATTTTCCCGCCAGACAAAACAAGTAACACTGTTTAGAGATAACAAGTTATTTACCGAAGGGCCACACAGGGCATTATGAAGCCATAGACTTAAACTTGGGTCTCTCTAATACTTTTCTTTTCCCACCACAACAGGAGAAAAAACCAGGAGCATATCAACTATACATCTTCACAATTGCAGTTTCCAGCATTCTCTAAAATAATTTTATTTTTACCTGGAAATTTTTTGGGGGTGGCAATGACTATGCTGATGACTCAGGCCCATACAGGGGTAAAATTATTATAGAGCTCTTAAACATTTGAGATCATTGCAAAAAAAAAAAAAATGTTGGAGAGTGCCTGACATAATGTTCTGTTAGGTAATCCTATTTTTCTCAAAGATTGGTATAATTTTAATAAATAATAGAATATTGTTTCGGTTTTTCTCCCATACTAAATTATTAGCCAGAGGCTAGGTTTTTAAAGAGTTATTATGGAGACACAGCATCCTGAAGGAATGAAGGCAGAGATTTAAGAAAGGGACCCTGAAAAACTCAGAACATGGTATGAGGGATCTGCAGATATATGTGAGAGAAGACAATAGGAAAATTAGCTGGGGACATTCCCTTTAAATAATAACAATTTCTTACATTGGCATAGCATAGCACAGTTTACAATGTGCTTTCATACAAATCTCATTAAACTTTGTAACAAGGCAAGAAAAGCCAGAAGTGTAGATATTATTATTCCCATTACATAGATGTGAACATTGAGACTCAGATGAGAAAACTGACTTGTCAAAGATGGCACAATTAGCATGTGACAGAGCTGAGACTTGGAGTCAAGGTCCCCAAACTCCTTGATGATTGTATATCCCATGACACCATAAAATCCCAAATGCAACTAAATCGAATATTACTGAAATCAGTAATTTCAAGATTCAGGGATAAGAAGACTAAGAGGAAACAGTGAAAGGGAACAGATGTAGGTGCATGGGGTCAGTCCCTACATTGCCATCAGTCAGCTGTAGACCTTGGCTGAATCTCTGAAGCCCTCCCCAATTCTCACATGGCTTCAAATATTATCAAACTCAAAGCTTAGCAATGAGGGAGAGATACTTGGTGGTCTTGAAAAAATACACTGACGTGGATGCTTAGACTCTATGTAGAAGCTGAAAGCTAGCCTTGGCCTTCATACTTTCTTTTCTGTTATCTATTAAGTGAGGGGTGTCACCCTGTAAAGTCTCCTGAGAGATGTTTGGCTGTCTTCATTCTGTGTTCTACCAAAGTCAACAAACATTGCTCCTGTCATGCTGCTGCTATTTTAGGCATGAAGGTATGGGCCATTTTAATCTTCATTCTGTGCAAAAGGAAGCTGAGGACTAGAAAGAATAAATAAAGCACCTTGTCCAAGGTCATATACTAGGTACGAGAACTGGAA